TGCCCCAGGTCCCGGTGTGGGTCTCCTTGTCCCACTTAGACCCTCAAGGCACTGGGCAGAACCATGATTCCTAATCAAAGAGATAATAGTGCCCAGAGGTGTTGGGCAGGCTCCAATTTGGTGCAGAGATGTTGCTGGAGTCCTCTCCTGGGCAAGGCTACAAAGCCCAGATTGTGATCTGTTGGGTTCTGCCTGCCCCAGCCACATGGCATGGGCAGAGGTGTATCATTTCAGTTTTTGTTCATTTGTTATTGGTTTGCCTGGAAGGATGTAGTTTTCTTCTTCTTCTTCTCCTCTTCCTTCCTCTCCTCCTCCTCCTTTTTTTTCTTCTTCCAAAAACTTATATTCTTTGTAAATGAAATATATTTATTTTTTCACTTTTAATACCTCATGTAATAATAATAGATAAAACATACAAAAGAGAAAGCTTTCTGGTTATCCTTAAAGCCTTTTGCCTATGTTAAAGGGTCTGTCATCCTAGTTTGAGAATTGGACTAGAGGATAAGTGATTCCTCTGAGTCTTAGAAGAGAGCACAAGTAGCCTTATTAAGACATAAAGGAGGGGGTCATATGTAGATACTGGTATAAGGGTTAGGAAGGACACCATGGCTATGACCTTTTTCTCATGACTAAGCATGAGACACTCTGGTAGGACTTCAGACTAAGGCTTTTGTTTGTTGCAGGTAGGAGGGTTAAATACAGGATCTCCTAGTTAACATATTTACCATGGAGGGACTTCCTGAGTCCTCAGTGTTATTGGTAGCTTTATTTATCTATTAAAGATAGGAAGATGGAGAAGTAGAGGTGATTGCCCTACCAAAGATCGTGCATTAAGGCAGTGGGAGAATCATTTGGTGCTTGGGTGTCTATATCTCTGCTGGCTGAATTGACAGTAGGATGCGTCATCGACCAGTCTACCGTGGCATCACCAATGACAGCCTTACCTTCCTGTAGAATACAAATTGTCCAATCATTTTTGCATTCTCTGTGACACAATAACAACCTGTGTGTGGTGGCACATGCCCGGAATCTCAGCACTTGGGAGGCCAAAAGGGTTGATGGCAAGTTGAAGGACAGTGTGGTCTTCAGAGTGATTATAAGGCCAGTGGGGGCTATATAGTAAGACTCTGTATCTAAAAGAACAAAAACACAAGCAAAAATAGGCATTCCTAATACATTGAAGAGTATAGATACATTTTAAATTTTTTGAACACATGAAAAAGTTATTAAGGCAAACTGAGAGAAGTTGTACCTGGGGAAAATATAGTGTTGCAAGAGGAGGCTATTTGTTTCATTCCTGGCTGCTCAGCAGCTCAGACCCAAAATAATTACACAGAAATTGTATTAATTAAATCACTGCTTGGCCCATTAGCTCTAGCTTCTTATTAGTTAACTCTTATATCTTAATTTAACTCATTTCTAGTAATCTCTGTATATCCACGTGACTGTGGCTTATTGGGTAAAGTTCCGAGCATCTGTCTCCAGTGGGGCTACATGGTTTCTCCCTGACTCTACCTCCTTTCTCCCAGCATTCAGTTTAGTTTTCCCTGCCTACCTCTATTCCCTGTGCAGGGCCAAGACAGTTTCTTTATTAACCAACGGTATTCACAGCATGCATAGGGGAATCCCACATCAATATAGTAAAGGTTCAGTTACCTTTATAAGCATAGAAGACATGGTAGCAAGGCGAAAAATGAACATTCTAGGAAGACCCTTAAGAGTCCATGAAAGTAAATATTTCTTGGTGGTTTTGGTGGCTATGAGAAAAGGTCAAGGGCAATGTGTGTATTAGAAAGAGTGTGACGTATGCACAATAAGACTGGGAGCCACTGGCAGACAACTTCCCTGAGAGGACTATTTTCATTTTGGTTATTGCAGTTGCTGGAGGTGAGTGAGGCAGGACTGCTTGAAGCCTCACAAAGGCTGCTGGAGGGAAGGAAAGAACTTCAAGAGTGGTTTGACAGCAGCAGGTCCTTAAGGCAGTTGGTAGCTGCCTGTGGTAGAGTCTTTGTTTCTTTGATTTCAGCACCACGTGCCAGCTGAGGTCGCGTGGAGATGAATTTTCTTCCACTCGGCTTCATTTCACTTAGCAGATGGAGCTTTATGATTGTGAACTCAATTTTCAGAATAAGTGTTAATAGAAAAGACACAGTCCTTAAAATAAAGAAGAGGAAATTGAGTAACTGGTCACTTATCAGGGCAGCTTTAAGATGGTTCTAGCCTCCCTGAAGGATAAATGTTAAGTATGTCCTCAAAAGATGTGAGACAGCATACTAGCTGGCCTCACCAGAAAGAAATGTTTGCATTAGAAGAAAAAAAAAACTAGATTCACAGAATTCAGCAAAGAGTGGTTTATTGCCAAACATTTGCTTATCCCATTCTCACCCTAATATTTAAAATAGAAAATCTGGTCCAACAATACTCACCAGTGATACAAAAGGAAAAGAAAAAGGAAAAGGCCCATGATTCATGGATTTTCCAGTTATCACAAGTTGATTCAGCGGCCAAATCCTAGCAAAGTCACAGTATTGAGTCACTTCATCAGCTCTGAGGTATGAGATTGGTGCTGTGTGCATGTTTGGAAGGCGGGGCTTGACAGAGAAGATACTTTTATGTAACAACGCTGTAACTCAGTGCTCTCAAATTTTTCTGCACATGCTATCTTAATGGAAATTTACTGGTACTTTCTTGCCAGAGCAATCACATTTCAGCAGGAGTGAAAGACTTAATGTTCTTCTGTTCAGGTGCACCACTTTCTTGTGTGCAGATAATCTACATTATTTGGTATTATTAGTTATTATACTTCTCACAGTTCATAGGACTTATTGTGGTCTTCAACAGGGACCATAGAGCCAGAGGTAGAAAACAAGAAAATGGCAGCCAATTTTATCCTCTAATGAGAGATAAAACAAAAGCAAAGGCATGATGCCTGCAAAGTTGTCATGAAATAGACAACAGCAAAAATGGGTGGGAAGCACAGTGAATCTGCTTTAGCTATCCAGGCAGGCTGATGAAGGAGGCAGGCCACACACAGGTGAGTGAAGCTTCTGAGCCTAGAAATGCAAACCTTCATAAGAGGGCTGACATTTTATGAACAGTTTACAAATCAAGACTGAAAATCCTACAGGGACAGCAGGACTCCACAGTGATAAATGGGGCCAGTCACCTGGCTTGGCGGTTGCATACCCAGTGTAAACAGTGTAAACAGGCTGAGTGGGCTAGAAGGGAGGAGGAGCCCTTGAGTTAATGATGAAGGAGGCCGATGATAGACACTGGATGAAAGAGATTGCCAGGCATTCTTTCCACTTCCTCTTGCTAACCCTGTCCCCGAAGCCCACTCAGGATGATGGCAGGAAACCAGAGGTATTGTTTGTGAGGTAGGGCATCTCACTGTACAGCCCAAGGTGGCTTTGAATTTGCAATCCTGCTGGCTTAGTCTACTGAGTGTTGAGATGACTAGGGTAGGGTTCTATACCCTACTCCATGGGGATTTGTCAATGATCCTTCTTTTTATTCTCACAATAATAACATACTGAAGATCTAAGAACCAGCCTTAATGAATATAACTTGCCTGGTACCATATCACAGCCTGGTAGCACATCACAGCTAATGGCTTGGTTGTGCTCCATTTTTCACACGTTCTTTGCCTTCTTTTTCCCCCCATAACAAACCATTTGGAATCCAACCAGATGGACTTGTCAGAGTTTAGGAACCCGCTCCTTCACATAGTGTTAGGGTCTTACTCTTTTAAATATCGGAAAGACCAGTTTCCATATGAGACTATGACTCATGGAATACTCAAAGAATTTTATTTTATTATGCTTCTCTTTATTTTCAATATGTACAAGAAATAAAACCAGTCTAGCAAGTATTGCTTCTTAGTAGTTCTTGGGAGATAAGAAAGCATTTGAAATTAGAATAATAAAACTCTTCTACCAATTATTATCCCCACTCAAATTGTAGTCTTTAAGAAGAAAAGAATTTTATATAAAGCGAAGACGCCAGAGATGAAAATGTACCTTTTTGAGGTACTTAAGGGTTGTTTTCTTTCTATCTGTAAATTACAAGGATAAAAATGTCTATTTTACATAGTTTTTTTTATTGCAAATTATCATAATTCCATTTCAGAAGTAGGTGGGATGTGAGTATCATGCAAACTAGTTTACTTGAATTCATAAAAATCTCACCGAAGGGCCAATAAGGCAGTCAGTAGGTAAAGACACTTGCTGACAAGCCTGGTGATCAGAGTTCAATCCCTGGGACGTACAGCACGGAAAGATAGAACTGATTTTCCCAAAGTGTCCTTTGACCTCCTCATACTTTCCTTGACCCGTGAACCCTCTCCTGCCCAATAAAGAAATGTAAGGGAAACAAGTCGCATACCAATTTATCTTTTGTTCATAAATAGCAAGAGACAATTTTAATTTGTTCAGAATTTCCAGTAAATGAGTATTTAGCCATGTTAGAAATTATTTACAAGTCACGAGTCCATTTATAGTTTTAAAAGTGCTTTCTTCAGTAGATTAGAACAGAAAATTTTGTAAGTCAACTTCTATATATTTCAGCACGAAAGATGAGATAGAAATTGAAATTAACCCTTCATTTACTGGAGGCAGTGATTGGCTATAAGTTGATTGAGTTTGAATATACATGTAATTGCTAAAAATTATGCATTATGTAAAATGTGTTCCTAATTTACTTGTGAATGGCCAATAACTTAGACTCACTTCATTACTTTCTAAATATAAAATTTTAGATTTAAATGAATCTAAGTGAAAGTGTAAGTTAGTAATTGCTCCTGGTTCTTTGTTCTTCTTTTCTGTAGAGCCTGAAATTCAGATGAATCACCAAACTGCTTCCCTTTTGGTGCCACTGACCATAAGTTAACAAAACAAGGGTGAACTTTAGTTCCCAGACTTCCCACCTTGGTGTTGTGATATTTTGGAAATAGTGCTCATTTCTCATGCTGCAATGAACCATATTTTATTCTGTATTTATAGTCGCAGATATGGCCAGTACACCATGAACCAAGAAAGCTCCACCAAAGTTAAAGAGAGGCTTCCGTTTGATCGATCGGGTTCCCAGGACTCTTTGGATGAAGTGTTGTCAATGGAGGACTACTGGACGGAACTAGAAAATATCAAGAAGTCTCATGAAAATCGCCAGGAAGGTCAAGAGGCCGTTGTTGTCAAAGAACCTGATGGTAATGACTAAGTGAATAACACTTGTGTGTATTAGTAGAAAATGGATGTCCAGAGAGGAAGGGAACCGACCCCAAGTAGTTGCCTTTGGACTTGATGGTTACTAAGCTGCAGCAGATTTAAGTCCAATTACCAGGTACAAGTGTTGTGAGCAAACTGAGTTTATAACAATGGCTAAGTCCATTCCATTAAAGATTCAGTGAGTTAGACTTGCTGTTTAAAGTCATCCATGCTGACTTTAATTCCTTCCATAATATCCTAGCCTCATGGCTATTTGGTCTTCAGGAAGTGTGGATGGTGACGGCAGGCTCTTTACGTTGCACTGATTCTGTTTTTCTATTTGTTAAGTAGCTGGATTTGTTAGAACTATGTTGGTTTGCAGTCTGTTTTCTTCTGAGACTTAGCTGGTGTAGCTCTTTCTGCTTTTTAAGGAAGAACAAATAAGTTCATTCTCCTTTTTCATATATGGTCATCCTTTCAGCATTTGAGGTTATTTCTCTTGTTTGTAGCCAATGGATTTGCACATTGCAGATGTGCATAAGACACCCGTGAGGTTTTGAGACATCAGGTAGACCTGGTCCTGTATCACTCAGTATCCAGATTGAAACAGCACAGTTTGCTTTGCCGATGGCAGGGTGCAGATTTGGATGCTAGAAGATAGCATTAGCATTTTCCGCTCCCTTAGTTGCTTCTTTCTAGAATTTAACATATAGATTTTGCTTACATTTTTTCCCAATGGTATTTTCTATATAATTCATTCACTATTATACTTGATATTCTGGAGAAAACATGCAATACTTGACCTTTAAAATATTTTTTTTTCTGCTGGGCAGTGGTGGCACACGCCTTTAATCCCAGCACTCGGGAGGCAGACAGGCAGATCTCTGGGAGTTCGAGGCCAGCCTGGTCTACAGAGCTAGTTCTGGGACGGGCACCAAAGCTACAGAGAAACCCTGTCTCAAAAAACCAAAAAATAAATAAATAAATAAAATAAAATAAAAAAATAAAAAATTTTTTACTAACTCCTTTAATACTTTAAAATTTTAAAAATTAAAATTAAAGACATCATCATATTTGTCATGCCAGATTTTGTCATCAAAACTGTGGCTTTCTTTCTATGCTCTCCATGAACTTGTATATATATGTTGGTGTATCAGTACATATATAAATGCCAAAAGATAATTTTATCAGTTCTGTGATCCACTAGTACACACATCTTTAACTTAGAGTCACTGAAGCAATGAATTAAAGTAACTCTATAAATAGGGTTTTCTCCTTTGCTACAATGTTGCTTTAAAAATAATTTACCAGTAGTAATCTGGGTCTACATAGGATCTCACTATGTAGCCCAGGATTACCTTGAACTTGTAATTCTCCTGCATCAGCCTTATAAGATCTGGGATCACGGGTATGTGTAATTGTACCAGGCTTGGATCCTTTCCTTAATTTAATATTTTTCAGGTTGATAAAAGAAAATCATATCAGCCAATCTGATTTCTCATATATTTTTCTGCCATTCTTTTCTAAATACATTATAAGAAAAACGTATCTTATTTGGAATAATTAATAAATATCATCTTCCAGTGTGGGTTTTAAGACAAAAGCAACTTGCCGGTTGCTCAGTAGGAAACACACATTTAAGTCTTATGTGTAAAAATGTACCTTTAGCTGTTTGAGAAATCTCCAAAGTTAAATTGAATTCACAGATGATGAAGAACAATGGGCATAATTTTATATACTCATTTTTCTTGGGCAATATTATTATTATTACTGTTATTGACATGATCTCACTATGTAGCCCTGGCTGTCTTGGAACTCACTATATAGACCAAGCTGGTCCTCCACTCATGGAGATCTGACTGCCTCTGCCCCTTGTGCTGAGATTAAAGGAGTGAGCCACCATGCCTGCTTTTCTTAGGTTTTAAATAGTTTGTTTTCCTTCTATTTTTAATGTACTAATAGCTATAATCATCTTGTTTTCCTTGTCATAATAATGTCAAGCCCCTCCCCCTCCCAGAACTCTGGGTTTATGCACCTGTGGTGTGTTTTATCTACTTAGCAGTAATGACAGTGACTGGCTGTTTTTCTCCTGGTCAGGGCTTTTGACACTTGATTTCTACACTCAAGGAGCTGCTCTGGTGTAGAAAGACAAAAATCATTCCCTAGTGCTACAGATGATAATATTTGCAAAGTGTCCTGACCTTTCAGTCTTGAAGTAGCTCTGGTGATCCTCATTTAGTTTACATAGAAAAAGGCAGAATTAACTTGAGGCTGCCTTGTTCAAACTGACATGGCTGTCAAGCTTCTGAAATGGACTACAGACGCTTCTGTGTCTTTTGTGACCTGCTATTACTTTTTTATTTCTCTCTATAAACATGGTGCTTGGAGTGACTCTAGACTGGTTTTCCATCTGTTTTTCTACAAGCTTCATTAGGCCTTAAAATACAGCATCCCTTGGTATCTAGGAATGATTGGTTCTAGGACCTCCAGAGCACCAGAAATCCACAGATATGTGTCTTATATAAAGACACAGAATTTGTGTAAACCTATCTACATACTCCTGTACACTTTAAATCAGTTCCGTGTTATTCATAGTACGTGCTAACATCCTAAAGTACATTATATAGGTGTGATATTGTGTTTAGGGGATGACAATAATTGAAATGTCTTCTTTAGTCAGGTCAGGTAGGGCTTGCAGGTGTCTGCAGAAGGAGATCAAAAATTTAGAGCCTGCCTGAGCTATGTAGTGAGACAGTGTCTAAAGAAAAACAAACGATCCCCCCACCAACAAAAATAAACAAATAAAACACATACAAAAAAAGGGAAAAAATAGTTCGTACCCATGTTCAGTTCAGACACATTTGCATTTAGTAATATATTCAATCCAGTTTCAGATGCAGAGACCACAGATGTGGAAGGAACTATATTTAAGTTACAGCCGAAATTTTACTTTCTGTGTTCTCAATCAATTATCTAGTTAGTTTTCACACAAGCTCTTTTGTTATTGTTGTTGAAAGAAATGTGCTTTAAAAAAATTCTTTAATATCTCCATTATCTCATTTGGAAAAAAAAAATTGGAAAATTTATTTTGAAATTGAATAGTTCCCCAATGCCCTGATATTTTTTTTCTTTTTACTAACTTGCCATATGCCTCACCAGCGACACAGAACCGAGAGAACAAACCCTTTTAGAGATTAATGTTGGACTCCAAGATAGCCTTGAATTTAAGCCAAGAAACTAGATCTGCCTGTGTGCTCTCAGCACCAACTTCCTGCGCCACCCACTGGGGCAAGTTCTCTCTTTATGGCTGGCTAGCCTCTAGAAGGAGCGCAGTACCGCCCTCCTTAGTTAATATGCAGGAAGTTGTGGAGGTTAATTACATGTGAAGCAATTTGAAAAATTTTAATTAAGTATATATGAAATTGACCCAAAATTTGCTATCACTATGGCCAGAGTAGATGGCAGTTGTCCAAGTTTCAGATAATGATTCTTAGCACTGGCTTAGTTGTAATAGAAGCGTTTCAGTCAGGATTTCTGATAGTTGCAAAGCATGAACGTTCTTATACTTTGTGGTTGTAAAATGACGTGTTTCTTTCTTTTACAAAACTATTTTAGAGGGAGAACTGGAAGAAGAATGGCTCAAGGAGGCTGGGTTGTCCAATCTCTTTGGAGAGTCCGCCGATGACCCCCAGGATAGCATCGCGTTTTTATCCACGCTCACCCGGACTCAGGCAGCAGCTGTTCAGAAACGGGTAGAAACGGTCTCCCAGACCCTGAGGAAGAAAAACAAACAGCACCACATTCCTGACGTCAGAGACATATTTGCTCAACAGAGAGAAGCACGAGAAAAAGTAAGATTCTTTACTGATAGGATGGCAAAGGCTGAAATGCTTGGACTCATCGGAACCAATCCAGTTCCTTCAAGATCATTGCAAACTGAATGAGCACCTAGCGTCTACCCTGTGTCAAAGCGCTGTGCCGGCAGTGTGCCAATGTTCTTGATTGACTTTTCCCATTCTAGAAGGTACCCAGGGAGGCAAATACCTAAGCAAGTTTAAATTCAGTGCAAAAATTCTGTGGTCGGTAGGATGGAGTCCTGGGAGCATTTAGATGTGCCTATAACACCACTGGGTGTGACAGAGTTGGGGTGAAGGCCTTCCACACAGCCTGCCTGCCAGTTGTTTCTGATAGAAAAGTGGGGGGGGGGCATGTTATTCCTTTTTTCTTTTCTTGGTTTTCTAAGACAGGTTTCAGCTGAGTAGCCCTGGTTGTCCTGGAACACACTCTGTAGCCAGTGTTTGCCTCTAACTCGCAGAGATCCCTCTGCCTCCCAAGTACAGAGGAATTAAAAGTATATGTTACCACTGCCTGGCCCTTATCTATTATTGCTAGAAGAAATCTTTGAATTTCCAACCAACTCAAGGATGAGTGGAAGTGGGGTTTGAGGAAACAGACGGCACCTGAACTGTGACGTTGGGACCTTGAGAAAGGAATACCCTCTTTGTGGCAAACTTTCGGCACCTTCCATGGCATAGAGATTTGAGTTGAGACAAACTCAGATGGTTAGTGTTTTCATGGAAGATGCTGGATTAGGGGTGGAAACAGAAGAATGGTAACTAAAGAGATTTTAGGGAGATGGTAGAAGTAGTAGACCCATGTGGCCCTCACAGTGCTGTGCAGAATAGCTAGTTGATAGATCATTGCTTATCTGTGAGGAAATAAGGGGCTTGCATTGCACTGAAATGATCACACTTATGCAAGTCTTGCTACCAACAAGGAAAAGTCAGCTGAACTAAATGGTGTTTTTAAGAGCACAGAAAATTTGCCTTCTGGCCCCATCAGCTCTGGTTTAGAAAACCCACTGAAGTCATTGGGAGGGTAACAAAAGGATTCTTGAATAATGGTTCTAATGACAACATTAGCAATAGCAATTGCTGCCACAGCTACTGAGCTAACGGCTTCACCTGCTTTATCTCATTGAATCCACACAGCTGCCTTATGACTGAGGTGTTATCATTGCCATCCTATGGCTGAGGTTCATAGACTTTAAGCAACATGCTCAATGTCCCGTAGATGCTAAACCCAATTTTGTCTGACTTTAAAGTGTTCTTCCTCCTGCTGTATTTCCACTTCCAAACATGACTCTGATGCTGAGCAGCCTGAATTTGAGAACCCATTTATAGTATAAGCAAAGGGCAATAAAATTTTCATGATTCTTCATAAAGAGTAGAATGGAAGAGCTTATATTTAAGGCACCTTTTTTTTGGGGGGGGGGCTGTTGTTGTGTAGAAAGCCTTTACTTTTTGCAATCATTTTGCTCTTCTGCAAAAGTCCTTTCAGTTACAGGCTATTATTCTCCTTGCATGGCCAGCTGTGGATCAAACTCAGCCCGTTTCCAGGAATTCAGGGTCACTAGATTGCTCCAGGCACTTGTATAAGTTGCTTGTTTGCTTACTAACCAGTGGTTATTTGGGACATCTACCAGGGCTGAAGGACGGAACTAGGTTTCCAGATATAGAAAAATGAATGATAAAGCTATACAATATGACATTTCTTTCCTAATTAAAAAGCATTGCTTCCTCCCTGGCTCTGTCCACCTAGAAAACTCAGAGAATGTGGAAAGCAGGAATGGGCAGAAAGCTGAACTTTAATAATTTGTGGTGTGGGATTCCTGCCAGTCTCGAGGACAATGTTGTTACTTGGTGCTGGAAGAAACATTATTTTTTCAGCAAATTCCTGGAAAAGTCTAACCCATGTGGTTTAGAATCTGAAATAATTGGTTTTTATTATCTGCTGGTCTCATTAAGAGAGACATAACACAAGTGTATTAAGATAATGCTTTCGTTTGCTGGACACTTTTAATTGAAATACACCACCCTCTAGAAGATGATCTTCCATTCCCCATCCCTAAAGCATCTATTGTTGTGGCTCTTCTGTTCTGGAATAAATGTGTATTCAGCTTTTCCAGTGTCCACACTTAAGCATGAAGTTCATGCTGACACCAGGAAATTTAATACCTAAATGTATCCATCTGCATGCCTATCTTCCGTTACTAACAAAAACACTCTGACCACATACTCTAAATATATATCTATATGTAAAAGTAGAATCCCTAAGCCGGGCGGTGGTGGCACATGCCTTTAATCCCAGCACTTGGGAGGCAGAGGCAGGCAGATCTCTGAGTTAGAGACCAGCCTGGTCTACAAGAGCTAGTTGCAGGATAGGCTCCTAAGCTGCAGAGAAACCCTGTCTGGAAAAAAAAAAAAAAAAAAAAAAAAAAAGAATTCCTGACTCTGTTCACTGTGCCATGAAAGGCCAATCCTCTACAGACTTATAGACAGAAGGAAGCAGAATGTCATATTGCAGTCAACTAAGGTATACCTTTGAACACGCCGTGTGTCACGTCTGTGACATGCCACTTGCTGTTCATTGTCTTCAGCACTACAGGCATCTAGCTCATATGTTAATGAGTTATTGGCACTAGCCCTCGTGATTTTTGTAAAACTGTGGGTGAGGGAGAAGGGTCTTTTGTGGGTAACAGCTTGAGGTTCATTGTGTTTAGAGGAAAGTAGGAGGGCTAATTATTTTTAATGTAGAAATGGAATCCAGTAGAGTGATTATCAAAAATAATGCACTCAAATAGGCCTCTTTGTATGCTTGCCCGAGACTCCCTTTCCTGATCTTCTAAAACCCTCTGGAAATGGAAGAATTGCTGTCTGACCACAGGCATGGGTGGAGTCAATCCTGGCTCACTGTGTTTATCCACCCCTGAAGGGCCATCTTTGTAGGTCAACCCCACTCTCTAAAATAGACGCAAAAGTAGGAGGGCACTTGTTTGGGATCAGAGGGAGGTTCCCATAAGAGTGAGGGGGAATAAGAGAAGGTCCTGGGAATATTGAATATGATTAAAATATATGCTTATGTGAATTTATAAAAATATTTTAAAACCAGTGTCAAAAGATATGTATAATACAGTGATTTCTTTATCATCACTATCACTTATTACACATTTTTATTGTGCTTCCCATAGTAAGCTCATATCTACTTGCAATTGCTCCTTTCATTCTGCTGAATATTTAGGCAAACATGGGTCTTTAGGTCTGTGTGATTTGCCTGTTCTAGACTTTTTCATAAACATGGAATTATAATATACATGGCTGTCTATTTCTTTCACATAGCATAATATTTTCAGAGTTTATTCATGTTGAAGCATGATTTGGAAGTTTAATTTTTGTTGTTGTTGCTAAATACTATGTCATGGCGACAGTAGACCACATATATCCACTTACCACTGGTATTGCTAACATTTCTTCTTCATCTAGACAGTGGTGTTTCACATGACAGGGGTGCTCTTGGCATCTTTTCTGTTCCCAATTGTGTTTGGTATATGTCTCACTGTTACAGGTAATCACACGCTTGTTGGAGGATTGTCTATTAATGGTAACCTTGGCACTTTGTCCCCTCACTGTGACTTGTATAAGTCTGAGTACATCTCTTGTTCTCTGAAGGTTAGGATGGTATTATTTACAACACCATGTTCTCCAGTTGTGAGTTGGGAGATGACTAAGTGGCTCCTTTTCTGTGTTTAGTCTCCAGATGGCTCAGAATCGCAGTCAATCGGAACAAACGAAAACAAAAGCCAAGGAAAAGAGGGTATGTCAGACCTGTGCTCTTGATTGTTCCCTTTAATTGCTATAACACAGTTGTCACTCAAACATGTTACCTTCATTCTACTAAGCAACTTCTATTAAAATATTAATGTTAGGTAAATAAAGATAAATGTATGATTCTGGATGTAGGGTTGGCCCTTTATCTTTTTTATGTGTATTCCCATCTGATCCAAATCTGTATATACATCTTCCTGACTGTTTATCATATCAAAATAGTGTGTAGAGCTTTGTACTTCATTCAGTACACCCATGAATTCTCCCTGGTGGGTGTTACTCTCGGTCCATTTTACAGATGAGAGAACTGAGGTTTGGACTTGGAAAGCTATGTTCCCAAGACCATGCATCCGGGATGTGGAGTTTCAGTGTCTTGTTCATGAATCATAAGCTCCAATTCAACAAGGGGTTTTATTTTCAGGAGTTTTAGAGAAACCTTTAAGAAAAAAAAGTTTTTCTTTTTTTTTGAAATTGATTATAATTTTCTTTCTCATTAAACATTTCTTATTTCAGAGATGAATTAGAGATTCAATGTCTAGAAGAAAATGAATACAAAGATTCTATTGAGCACCACTAAGGAAAAGGTTACAGCTTTTGTGTTTATAAGAAGGGAAAATGTCCTTGGCTAAGATCCTAAATTGAAGCTTAAAGAAAAAGTCTTCAAGTTACTTAAACACTAACACAGATGAGCTGTGTGTTGGTTATTACTCACGTCTTAGTGTCTGAGGCATCTGTGCGTGATAGTGTTGCTTTGGGTTTGGCAGTAGCAGGGTCACAGAGTGGTTGTCAGGTAACGAGAGGCCTGGGAAGCCTTCCCAGCCTTCCTCTAGATATCACTCATTAGGAAAAACTTACAAGGGATGTTCTGAAAATCTGAGAGCAGATATCATCTTTGTTTCGTCAGAATTTTCTCAATACTTCTCTTTTAAAATATGGAAAAAATTAATAAAATATTTTTAATAAAACTACTTAAAATATGAAGGCATGCAATACACACATGAACATCATGAGTCTGAGTATGTGTGCGTGCAAGTGTGCATACACACATACCCCTGTAAAAATAGTTTCTTCTTCCTCTTTTGGAGGCCTCTGTAGCTATCATGTGTTGTATCAGAATGAACTGCTGGGTATTTCCCCCTGTCTGTGTGCCAGCAGACACTGAAGTGGCAAGCAAGCTGGCTGTGCCAGTCCTAGCCTTCTAGAGAGCTTGGGTCCTCAGAGAGACAGACGACTCTTTTGTGCCAGTGTCAATATACTTTGGGCTTTGGAGAAGAGTGCCTGCCAGTTGTTTAACAGATATTGAGGAAAACATTGTCCTTTCTTCGTGTTTTCCTCTCTTGCCCGAGATCATAATGTTGGCTCTATCAACAAACGTTTTATGAGACAACTCCATTATATGAGCACTTTCGGGCTGAGATTGCAGCAGGCGGGGGAGAGGTGACAAACTTGTGGCCTGATTCACATCTGTTTCTGCTGGAAGGCTGAGCAGTTGGGGTCAGGCTGCCAAGCACATAGCCAGTCCAGTCACCTGGTGGCCGCTGCTGCACCTGTTCGGAGAATGCCCTACTCTTTTGTTTATCAGTGAACGGATGGTGATTTGAACACGTTGGAAAGTTCAGAAAGAAATTATAGAGTTTTTATTTGTTTGGTTGTCACGGTCACTGCGAGAAAACACTAATCAAAGGCAGCTTGAGGGAAGAAAGAGTTGAGTGGGCTTACAGATTACAGCCCGTCATCCAGGGAAGCCAAGGCAGGAACCGAAGACGAGACCATAGGCGGTTGGTGCTGATTGGCTGGCTCCCAGGTTCATGTGAAGCTATGTTTCTCAAGCGATCTGGGGACACCTGCCAAGCGATTGCATTACCAACAGTAGGCTGAATCCTCCTACATCAATCAGCAATCAAGGAAATGCCCCACAGACTTGCCCACAAGCCAATCTGATGGAGGCGATTTCACAATTAAGATTCCATATTCCCAGGTGTCTTAAGATGATCATCAAGGTCAGCCATGTGTATATGCATGGAAACACTATCTGGAGTTTTGTAAAAGGGAGGCTGGTTCTGATTAAAATCTCAAACCACGAGTGTCAGTCTGATCTAAATGTTTCCCACACACTTGAGTTTTTATTGCAATCAAGACAACCTATTTTGGGGCAAAACATATAGCTCCACAGTTAAGAGCACCCTGGTTCCATTCCCAACACCCACAACCAACAGCTCCCAGCTATCTGTAAGGTCAGTTCCAGGGACTTTAACATCCTCTTCTGGGCATGGCAGGCATGTGACGCAGAGACATATGTATACTAAACAGTAATATAAATAAAATAAAGATCTTTTTTTTTAAATATTTTTTATTGAAAAAAAATTTCCGCCTCCTCCCCGCCTCCCATTTCCCTCCCC